TTGAAAGTGCACCTTACCTCTACAGCTACAAATGCATATGTATGCCAACTCCATCCTATTAAAAAATGCATTACAAATCAAATTCTTTATTTCTCAAATTTCTATATATATTTTTTAATTTCTTTAAAATACCAGTCAATCACCAAAACCGCCCAAAATCGAAACCAGCCACTGGCCATTTCTGATCTAACCAAGCGGTTAGCGGTTAGATCGCCCAATTTTTCCAAAAGTGCTTCGAATACTATTGGGTCAATTACCAAATGATCACTCATTTGCCCAAAATTATTGGGGGTCAATTACCAAAATGGGCACTCATTTGCCTTAACTTATGAGCACCCACTCCCCTCTCGCATAAATTTTTTGGGGTTTTTTATTTTCGCACTCGCAAGGGCTGCCCGGCGTTTGCATTGCCGGACAGGCGGCATCCGTTTGGGCTTTCCAAAAACCCTGCAAGCCTCATTTCCAGCTCTCACTCGCTATTTTCTTTTCTCTCTCTCAAGTTCACATTCTCTCTCTCTCTTAAGTTCTTCGATTTCTCCCATATCTTTCTATGGTGGATTATAAGGAGATGGGTCTTCTGGGGAGCTCTTCTCCATAGTTTAAAAGAGAGAAAATTAGAGAGAAGAGATAGAAAATGGTGCCCTAATTTTTTTTGGAGAAAATGCTGCCCCAATTCAGAGAGTGATCTTGTAACCTCTGAGAAAGAAACCAAATTTGAGAGAGTAATGAACAGGGCCTTCATCAGAATGGTTTTTTGTTAGATGAGAGAGAAACTATTGCCCCATTTCATCAATTGGGTACTCCTACCGGTAAATGATAACTTAACAGATAAACTCGTAGTAGAAAAGGGCTCTTTTCGGAAAGTCTCTACAAGATAAGAAGTTCAATGAATCGCGAAAAGAAAATGATATTGGTCCTCATGGTTTCAATTCACAGATTGATGATTATTGGACTGTGTTTAATCCAAACGATCAGGTTTGAATTTGAATCCTAAATCTGCTTCCCCTTTCAATCGTACATCAGTTGCAGGTTCCCCATTTACTGAAATCCTAAAATTAAAAATAATGGTTGGTTTTCTCAAGCTCTATCTCCCCTTCAAAAATGGTGATTTATTCACCACTTAATCCTAAAAAGGCAAGAAAAGCCACTCCTCTTATTTGGATTCACTTTATAATGGTTGTGGTCCACATAAGTGTTGTAAATCAAGATAACCCAGTTACTCTTTTTGAGCATGTCGGGATATCTCAAATCCACCCAGTGTAATGAGCTACCATAATAATTTCAACACTCAAATATTATGCCCAAGATGTAATTACAAGTGTAATATAATTGAAAAAAATAAATAAACAAGAAAACAAGTAATATGGAAAATTATTGAAGAATAATACGAATGAAAGTAGAGAGGGTCACACACATATACGTAGTTCATTCAATGTATTCAGAAGAAAACTTACAAGAATGAGGTTATATAGAGTTACCTTATACAATACCAAGAAAAGCTCAAACAAAAGAACTTCCTACCACAAAATCACTTACCATCGACTCTAATTCACCGATGCTACAAAGAAATGCCGATAAAATGGCTCAACTCGAACCCATACCGTGGTACTAGGGTTTTGTAGAAAAAAAAGCCTCAAATTTTCTCTTCAACCTTCTCTCTACATTTTCACCATTTGTTTTCTTCTCACCTCTTTTTCTTACTCAACTCAAATGAGTTATAAAGCCTTATGAGAAAGAACATTTTTACTATGACTAACCCTCATCGTAATGAAACTACCAAGAAAGGAAAACTCAATTGGTTAGCAAGTGCCTTAGCAAGAGCCATTCTTGTACTTTAAGGTTAACTCGTAGTTTTTTTCAGAGAAAGCTTCTACTCTTGTACCTTCATGTCAGGAACCTCTAAATGTAGAGAAAGACTGATGCCACAATATCGAAACAATCTATATCTCAATTCGTGTAATAATGTCACATTAGCCCAAGACTCAAAACCAAATAAAAAAAAAACAACAAAAAAGATGAGGTGGAAAAAAAACATTCATTAAAAAATCACATGGGTTACACAAAGAAATTACAATCTTGCCACGCAATATTAACCATGATACATGTTAGCCAATTTTTTCACCACACACCTCTTTTTAAATAGAGATTTTTTACAACCATATTTACCTACAAAAACTACCCCACTTGCAACAACAACTACTAACCACCTAGTAATTTCATAACTTCTTATTATATAAACTTACAAGTACAACTTCACTACATCACTGACAATAAAATAATATAAAAACTAATATACTTTCTAGAAAATAGACTTTAACCATTGGGAAATGTTTATATAGAGCCGAGGCTCTAAATAATCAAATTAGTGCTTACCTCAAAATTTTCACTAGAAGATATTATTTTGATGCCCAAATATCCTCAAATTGATCATCTCGACATCAAGATACATGTTTCAAGTTTTAGAAATAGTGTATTTTGTAATGCATTTTTTAAACATTATAAATAAAGGTGAAAATATATTTTAAGGCTATCACAAAGATTTTCAATGTTGAAACCACATTTCTCGACACTATTTGAAGGTAGGCTCTAATTTGATTGTTTAGAGCCTAGGCTCTATACAAACCTAACCCTAAACAATTTTAACACTCCTTCTTAAAATGATTTTCTAAAAAAGTGTCCATGTATACGCGATCATCTCCATCATTTCCCAAAATTGAAAATTCGATAATTTAGTAGGCCACCAAAGAGATTCTCAAATTCCACCAAGTAGGGCTACATAGCCCACCCTTGAATAGAGGTAATATTGGGAATGTACTCCGTCGTTAAACCATGAATGATATGTCACTTCATTTGTGCATCCAAATAGGTTCTTCTGCATCAATGGGAGATCTCCAAATTAAGAAGAATTAAGAAATAGAAAGACCACCTAGAAATGAGTTCCCAACTCAACATTAAAACCATTAGGCCTTCCACCGAATGCATCTTCAAAAAAACAATTGATCTTGTTCACCAAATATCGAGTATGAAGAAGAACCTTTTCTCTGTTGCCAATGTTAGGATAGAGTTTTAGGGGGAGTGTTAGGATATAGATATATTGGATTCATATTGATATATATCACTATGGATGTATATGTATATATCTCTTGATAAGGTTAGGTATCTAGAAGATAGCGACTAAGTTACTTGGTCATCAAGTTATCATACCATAATTATCTCCTATAATCGTGTGATTGTCCTTTATATAAAGATGAACTTATTGATATAAACATTCATCAAATATAATGAAGATATAGCCGGTTGGGGCTTTGGATCCGTGGACGTAAGGGTTCGGCCTGAACCACGCAAATATTCTCGCTCCCTTCTATGTTCCTACAAATTCTAACATGGTATCAGAGCCATAGACTCTTCGACTCAGATCTGATATTGGGAAATTTCAAGACCATCTGCAACCACTGATCCTTGTTACTATGTTGGTAGCATGACCTTTATTCTCCCATGATGTCCAAAGATCAAGTTGGTAAAAAGAGGGAGTGAGACATGATGGTGATTCCGGGGTTCCCTGTGAACGATGGCGATGTGAAGCGAATGTTGAATATTATCCAGGGTTTCTTGTCTCAAATTTCAACTGCAACCCTTGACCTCCAAATCATTGGCATGGATCAATTTGCTATGGTGGAAGAATTGGCTTTACTTATTAAAGATAACTTACCTTGTAAGCATCTCATTCTTTCAATGGAAGATTGTCCTAGTCAAATTCCTTCAACGAAATACATGCTTCGAGGCTGTCTTGGAGCTCGTACCAATGAATCCTTACCACTGTATGCTTCTACATGATTTTCGGGTTAGCACATGAATCTGTTGGTGAAGGAGATGATCACCATTTAAATCTGGATTTAAATCGTATTTTTTTTTTAAGATGTGGGGTTTTGTCTAGAAGCCCAATTTCATTGGAATTTTTTTTTATTTTTTTATTTTTTTATAAGATTGTACTCAAAAGAAAAAAAAAAAATTGTATTTTTGCAAATTGGGTGTTTCTTCGTATCCACACCCAACTTAAGGGGGAGAGTATAGGAGATGAGATAAGTAGAGATGAAGTTAACATCTCTAATGTAACCTCTATGTGGACAAGAAAATCAAAATTATGGATCAGTTCAATTGCTATACAAAGGGAAGTTATGGTTGGTGATCAAGAGTTCCGTCTCCAGATGAGGAGATGAAGATGATCGAATTTCACAGTTATGGGTGATGATCAAGAGTTCCGTCTCCAGATGAGGAGATGAAGATGATCGAATTTCACAGTTATCAAATTTCTCGATCTTGGTTGATGATCAAGTTTTTCGTTCTTTGATTTTATTTAATGATGGATTTTTCCGTTGCTCCATCCTGTGTGATGATCGTCGAGTTTTTTGTTACTCGATCTTGGATGTTCCAAAGAGAGAGAAAAATCATTTTCTTTTAAAGAGAGCAAGCCTCTAGACAAAAAAGAAACCTCTAAAGAGAGATATCTTGAAGAAAGTAGAGAGCCCAAGAAAGGTTGTTTCTTGGAAGTCCATGGTAACGTATGATTTTTATTTTTTTTTGGTAACTTTGTATTGTTCAAACTCGAGCTTCTTTGTGTCAAAGCATCTTGAGTTTGAGGGGGAGTGTTGGGATATAAATATCTTGAGTTCATATTGATATACATCACTATGGATGTATATGTATATATCTCTTGATAAGGTTAGGTATCTAGAAGATAGAGACTAAGTTACTTGGTCATCAAGTTATCATACCATAATTATCTCCTCTAATCGTGTGATTGTCCTCTATATAAAGAGGAACTTATTGATGTAAACATTCATCCAATATAATGAAGATATAGCCTGTTGAAGCTTTGGATCCGTGGACGTAAGGGTTCGACCTGAACCATGTAAATATTCTCTCTCCCTTCTATGATCCCACAAATTCTAACAGCCAATAATGTGGATTCGGGCTAATATGTTCTACTCGGGCCTAAAGACATGAAGTTCCTAATAAACATCGTAAGTTTGACGGCAGATGTTGTTCATACTTGTAAAAGAGTTAAAGATTTATTTGTTTTATCATCTACCATGTCATATGTTGATAAAATGAGAACAAATGATGGGGCTTCAATTTGGCATGCTAGATTGAGGCATCTTAGAATAGACAAATTGAAAGTTAAGGTGTTGAAATTTTTGGTAAATGGATTGCCTAAATTGAGTACATTTGGCAAAGGTGAAGTATGTGAACGGTGTCAATATGGTAAGGCACATCGTCTTCCATTTGACAAGTCATTTTCAAAGTGCAAGGCCCCATTGGAGCTTATCCAAAGTGATTTGATGGGACCTTGTGTTACGCCTTCACATTCGGGTTTTCGCTACATGTCATTGTCTGTTGATGACTTTACAACATACACATGAGTTTATTTTGTAAAAGGGTAATCATATGCATTTTCAAAATTCAAGGAGTTTAAGATGACCGTTGAAGGTGTTCTAAACATGAAGATTAAAAGGTTGAGGACCGATAACAGGGGGGAAGTTTAACTCTAACGACTTCTCTTCATTTTGCCGTATACATGTCATTAAAAGGGAGCTTTCCTTTGTCTACACACTACGGTAAAATGGTATGGCTGAAAGAAAGATTAGGTACATTATACAAATAAGCAAAAGTTGGCTTCATGAAAAGAATTTATCCAAAGCTTTGTGGGCAGAGGGTATGGCATGTGCAACTTATGTGATTAACTGGGTGCCTCTTAGTCTGGTTAATATGAAGTCCCTTTATGAAATGATGTTTGGGGAGAAGCCTAATGTCAAATATTTCAATATTCTTGGTTCAATTTGCTATGTTTATTTGCCGGATGCAAAAAGAACCAAGTTGGATGCTAAGGCAAAGAACTGCGTTTTCATTGGTTATGATGAAAGTAAGAAATGATGGAAGTGCATGGATAAAAAAACTCATAATTTTACGATTTCTATAGATGTAGTATTTGATGAGGTATCTTCATATTATAAAATGAATGGTACTTCCATGGGGAGTGTTCGTGATAGCACTCATGTTTGTGATGAGAAGCAAAAGGAAGTTAGTTTACCTACAACTCCAAATGCTCCAATGTTGACTGGTGGTTCTTCTTCTTCATCTATGGGGGAGCAATGTGATAGGGGAGTAGAGTTGATTGTCGTGAAATATATGAGTATCAAGCTGATCATAATATTGCCGAGAATGGGGAAAGTGTTTCTTGACTGGGACCACAACAGTTGATGCATTAGCCTCTATTATTTTTGAGGATGATTGGATCATAGATTCTGGTTGTGAGCATCATCTCACTGACGATGATTCCAAGTTCTCAAGTTTTTGAGATTACAATGACAATGATGTTTGCTGATAATTCCATTCATCCAGTGGAAAAGAAGGAGTCGTCACGATTGATGGAGATGTCGTATTTATTGGCAACAACAAATATTCTCACAAGGAAAAATATAAAATTAAAGGTTCCAATGATCATGATGATGTAAAATCGTCCAGTAAAGGTGATGGAAACCAGAAATATGTCAATAACTGCCGTGATAAATTGAAATGTGGAAATGTACTTTACACAATGTCAAAGCGCTACTATCGGACCGTACTTACACAGTGTCAGTGCTGGACTACACTTTACATAGTGCTGGAGCCCTATTGTCGGACTTTACACACTGCCGAAATGCTACTGCACCGCACTTACATAGTGCCGCCTCTATTTTGGTGGGATAGAGGAGAGATGAGTGAGTACCGTAAAAGTAAGGGAAGATAGTTTAGACATTTTTTTATTTTTTATTTGGTTGGAAGTATTAGCAGAGAAATTATATTTTGGGGAGAAAATAAAATGAGAGAAAAGGTTAGGATAAAGGTAAATTGCATAGAAAGTATTGTCTTGGTTTTTTTTTTTTTGTAATTTTCCCAAGAAACTTCATCCTATTTCCGGGCCATCAGACCTTACAGGGTAGGTATACCCCAATAAAGGGCTAGAATTGAAAGCCTCTCGACCTGGATATTGCATCCAGGGGAGCATTTCCATGGAGAGCTCCCAACTAATGGAGCACAATCTTCTTGGTTTTATGGGCCTTCTCCCATCACCTGAACCGTGCCACCATCCCCAAACAAGTTTTATTGGTTTCCTCGATGATTTTAAAACCAGGTTTTGTCTCTCGTCACCAAATCCTTACCCAAAAAGTTCCCAACCCAAAATTCCTCTCTCTTCGACCCCCAATTTCTGTTCTTCTTCTCTCTCTGTAGGTACCCACATCAAGAACACCCCATGTGAGCAAAACCCGTCTCTCAAATCCATGTTTAGACCAGTAACAAGAGATAATCAAGCAATCAAAGCCATGCTGAAGAACATTTCCGTATTTGAAAAGGCCTTTATAGGAGCCATGGCTGGAGGCTTTGCAGGTGCTTTCACATATGTTTGCCTTCTCCCACTTGACACAGTCAAGACCAAGCTCCAAACCAGAGGGGCCTCAGAATTATACACAGGAGCCATTGATGTAATCTCCAAGGTCCTCAAGAACGAAGGAATTCTTGGACTTTATAGTGGGGTTTCGGCTGTCATTGTGGGCTCTGCAATTTCCTCTGCAATTTACTTTGGCACCTGTGAATTGGGTAAGTCTCTTTTGGCCAAAGTTCCAAGTGTTCCTCCTATTATGATCCCCCCAACTGCTGGCGCAATGGGTAATCTCGTTTCTTCCGCGATAATGGTGCCCAAAGAGCTAATTACACAGAGAATGCAAGCTGGGGCTAAAGGTAGGTCTTGGGAAGTTCTATTAAGAATTCTAGAGAGAGATGGGATATTGGGTCTTTATGCTGGTTACTCTGCAACTTTACTAAGAAATTTACCAGCAGGGGTCTTGAGTTATTCCTCTTTTGAGTATTTGAAATCAGCTGTATTGAGTAGAACTGGGAATTCTCACCTTGAACCTTTTCAAAGTGTTTGTTGTGGGGCTTTAGCAGGGGCCATTTCGGCCTCTCTCACTACTCCTTTAGATGTTGTTAAGACCAGGTTGATGACCCAAATTCAAAGTGGGGCAATTGTGGATCCAGAGACTAAGGCAAAGATAACCATTTTGGTGTATACTGGTATTTCTTCAACTATGAGAGAAATATTGAAGGAAGAAGGGTGGATGGGCTTGACTAGAGGAATGGGTCCTCGGGTTCTCCATAGTGCTTGTTTTGCCGCATTAGGTTATTTTGCTTTTGAGACTGCGAAACTCACTTTCCTTCATCATCATGTTAGTCGTAAAGAAAAGGCATTGCATCATGATTAAGTGTCTTATGGGTCAGTTTTGTTGGATTAGTTGTGAGCTTGTATGATTTTTAAGTTTGATTTGTATGGATTGATCGGTCTATCTCAGTGCTGCTAAGTTTATTTGAGAGGCTTGTCTGCCTTCTGATATTGTTTTAGTTGAGAATTTTACAGTGCTGTTACTGGCTTCAATTTCATACAAATACAAAAACTAGAAACTATGTTCTGGGTTTGTTATAGCTTCATAATTTAAATAATCATTTGATAGAGCATAATGGCGGACCAGGATTCATACAGCCGACCCAAATAGTTGGGAAAGTTTGATGATGATGATGCTTTGATTTGAAAGTTTTAATTGTATGGATCAGTCATCCTCACTGCTAATCATAATTCAAAGGTTTTCTTCTGCACACATTTTCTGCCTTGCAATTATGATAAATACTTGCTAGAAATTTTCTTGGAAGCCTCCAGGTTTTTGTTGATGGCTTCAGTTTGAGCTTGTTATTAACTAATTGCCTTTCTTATAAAGAAACTTAGTCCTAGTATTGGAAGGGGAAATGATCTTGGTAAATTCTTCTGCTTAGGATTGCCAAGCTTTGGTGAATGACATGGTATCCTCTGCCGTAACACGCGATCAAGTGTTGATACGTAATCCCTACAAGTCCAAATTTTATGGTCCTTACCAGCTTCATGAAATGATTTAAAGTTCGAAGAGTCTACATACCTTGGGTCTGTGGAAGTTATAAACGAATTTTGCACTTGTTAACTCTGAATTTCGTTCATAAGTTTGTGGGTTGACATCAATGAATATCCTAGGACATTCAGCAAATATAATTTTGGATTCATTCTGACATAATTTTTCTTCCCTTTTGTTTCTTCAGTATTTATTTTATAGTTTGAATTACTTTCTACGCAGATTGTGACTATCTAATTGTCAACTAAGTGATAATTTGGTTTCATTAGTCTCTATTATCATGTCAGTTTAAAACAGTTAGGCTATTCTGGATGATATTCCCATTCTGGTGAGTGAACTTAGCTTAACAAATATATGCACAGAGTTTCTCCAGTCTCAACTAAGCCTGGGCTATTGAAACAAATGCAGCTAGATGGGTTGTTCCAAAACATGCGGTTTCTCAAGATTTAGCTAGTAGGAACTTCACGCAGGATATGAATTACATCTGGATTTATTTGAATGACCTGTTAACTGATCAATTGTGAACTTCAAGAGGTCAGGTATCGTATTTTTCTTGGATCTTTCTAATGTTTAAAAATTAGATGTTTGTTTTATACACCTCAAGTGGACTGTTCCTGCTGAATGATGATCTACATGAAAATTCATAACATAGAGTCAAGTTGGAGTACCTTGTTGGCAAGATGCCTTTTACAAGAAATGACACCATCTACCATATATACTTTTTGCATGCATAAATTGGTGCACCTCTGTATATATCAGCATTGAGAAATCCAAAATCAAGCACCAAACAGCCTGTGTATAAGCCCGCCTTGTGCGGCTCTTTTGTGGCCACCAAACCGTGCCCAAATATATAGCATAGATACATTATTTCAATAATATAGATAATCAAATATCAGTATAATTTATTCTATATGCTATAGTTTGTACACCAACACACAAACACTCTTAAAGAATGCTTGTGCCATAAATTTTGTGACGCTAACTCTATACCTACATAAATTTCTTTTCTGAGGTTACTATCTGTGCCTGTTGGTGCATTTTGGAAAATCTCAGCCCAGCTGCTGCTGAAATCCTTTGCACCAAATAAATATCAACCAATTTGTTAAACATGGTAACCCTCATTCTCTTGTGATTAAATGTCGTGCTGTTGTGTGCGTTGGTCCGTTCTGTGAACTATCAATGAATCCTTTGCTCCATGTTATTAGCAACCAAGTTTCCAGCCATGCGCTCGTGCTCTATTCTGACTGAACACTTAATTGATAAATAGGGATGGATTGGAGTCCTTAAGAACAATTTGCTTTTCATGCTTTATATCCCCCCTTCAAGTTCTCCCAACAGGTACCTTGAGATTCATGGCGGCTGATAACTTGAGAATTTCTTCTCTTATCTCTGATTGAGAATATTAAATTGCCACTACAAAGTTTGTTAATTTTGGTCTCTTCCAGCTATTCAGGTTTTGTAGACATCCCTTCAGTTTCACGAGTTTTCCACCAAGTATGTGGCTTGAGTTTGCATGGAAGTCTTCTTCATCGGAATGGTCCTTGTTTCTGTATTACTCTTTTGCGGGTAGAATATCTCATGGATCACATTTAGTTGCAAGAACGCTTTATGTTTTTTCTTTACTAGATCCTACCATGGATGATTGTCCATTTTGACTAGAATTTGTAAGTTTTTGTTGCTTCATAAATCACATACTTTTTTCCCCCTTCTTTAGATTGTTCCAATCGGTGACATTAGTTTATGAGGTTCAAATTCATCTACTTGCAGAATATAAACCGCTCATTTGCGGGGGTTTGGACATATAACATCACTTTACCCTTCCCCTGTTGATTATGTAAGTGCTCTAGTAGATGGCCAGTTGAACCAGTATTGACAAGCCATACGTAGCCTATTAAGATAACTGATCAAGAGGCAAGCTTGTCATCCAATGTGCAATGTGCCATCCAACGTGCAATGTGCCCAAGGAGTAAATGAGCTATTCGTCAACATTCAACAGGCAAGCTTCTTTATCTACTAAGGAGCTACGATATCTAAGGAACCCAGCTAATAATTCAGACTGAGTCTTGGTCTCCTAATGCCAATCGATCTTGAAAAGAGTAGCTTATGATACTTTCCAGGATAAATTTGTAAAACACCCCTTTAGGTGGAGTGGTTTGGTTAAGCCGGTGACTGAAAAATGATTGATTCAAAGTGGAATTGCTGATCCGGCGCGGGAATCGGTGGTGATTGGGCTAGTTACTAGAAAGTATTGGGAATCAATGTGATCCAGCTTTGGATCACCTGGTTCTCTGACAAAACCTCTGACAAGAGCTGGGATTCTGTCCAAATTCTGTCGAGGTTGTGTTTTGAAATTTTTCACTTTTTCAGCTTTGTTTTTTTTCCTTATTTTTTGTCTTTGTTGGTCAAATAATCGGTCAAAATGGTTATAGGCTGGATTACCCTCTATCATTCATTCCCCCAAGCCATTTTTCTTTGAGAATGTGATCAAATCTGGTGGTTGTTTTTGTTTTTGTTTTTTTTTTTTGAGAAAAATACGCACGCCCCATTTGGCCCAGTTTTTGCTCAATTGACCAAACGATGCTGTCGCTTTCCACTGACTAAAATTCATCGTTCTCGAGTCCTTTACAAGATAGCACATCAATTTATGGGACCAAGGCAGTTCTTGAAGTGATCTAGCCCCAGTCATTCTTGTATTTTTTTCTTGAAGAGGTGTTTCGATTCTGGGTTTTATAAACCATTTTTGTTGGTCGGACGGCATCTTCAATAGATAATTATTTCTTTCATTTATTTCTTTCATATTTTTATCTCCATATTTTGGCTCGGGTTTAGGGTTTTTTGGAAAAATTTTGTGCTTTTCAAAAAACGCATTTTTATAATAAAATGTTAAATATTTTTAGGGATTTTGTTTTAAATCATGTTAGGAAAGTTGTATAGTAATTATTTCATTTTATTTTCTTTGTTTTATAAAGGTTTTGTGTTGCATGATTTTGATTTTTCTGAAAAAAGCTCAAATTAATTTTTTTTATAATATAATAAGATTTTTCTGGAAAATAGTATGCCTTTGATAAATTTTTTTGTTATGAAGAATGTCCCGGCCCTGCCCAGCCCGAGGCTTGTTAACCTGCCCACTGGAGGCCTGTTAGCCGACCCTACTCGGAAGCTCGAGGTCCGGCCCTGTCCATTGGCAACCCTAGCTCTATGGTGCATAACGGTAATATTTTGCAGATATGCACGCTGCATCCTCAATGGTGTCTTGCTCTCTCGAGATGGTTATTATATGCATATGTAGTGTTATGGTTCAGTTATGAGGGTTTGGCCCTCATCTCTAGTGGCCAACCATCATACATAAATGTCACATAGTACATTAGCTCACTCCTCTAGGCAACTCCGACCTAGTCAAGGGATAACCCATAAACCTTCATTGGTTTTATTTCATGCCAAGGTAATAGGGGTTTTCCAACTCGATTGGCCTATTATGTAAAGCCTAGTTTGAGTATCGACAAATAGCATTTGTCTATTATGGTCCACAAAAAACCATACTCCCACTGAGTTTATATTTCATTATATCAAATATTTAATTACAAGCTCTCATAAAGCTTTTAATGGTCATAGAAACCCAACAATTTATCCAAGAGTTTTGTCTCAAATTGAAATATCTTCATGATTTCTTATCATCGACCATTAGTCACGATGCATATGTGTAACCGACGATGGTTGGAAAGCACATCATATTGAATCAGCACATATCACATGTAGAGGCATATAGGGGCCCTGGGAGTATATGTATCCTAGAACATATCTCACAATGAGCTGGTTTTAATATCTTCTATCATCACCGGTAAGCTGAACATGCTTGACTGACGTGTCAAGACTTTGAAGGCATATTGGGGCTTTCATATGATGAGTCTTGAATATATCATATATTTCATATTATATAGGGTATGTTATATATTTATATCATATCACACCTTTATATCATATCAAGAGCATGTCTTGGTAGGTGTCATCAAGAACCAGGCTCATATCTTATCTACTGTCTATTAAGACAGTTATCCAACGTTCGTTAAAAGACTTCGCCTTATAATGATATGTTTAACTTATCAAGATAGAAATAAATTCAACAACAAAGGCATATCTTCAATGTTCGAAGCTTATTAAGCTCATATATCTTATTCGTCTGTAAAGACATTATTCAGTGTTCGTCAAGCCTTCAATCTTATCAAGCTTCTGTCAAAATGCATCTAATTTTGTATGTGACTAAAAATACACCCAACACATCCTATTTCTTAAAAAACTCTCCTTGTTTTTCAAAATCTTCCCAAAATATTTTAAAAAATAAAGGACTCGAATTTGCGCCTAGTAATGATGATGCGAATGCGCCAAAGACCCTGTGATTCCAAAAAAAGAACACCACAAGGTAGAGGCATCCAAATACCAAAATCCCATTCAAAATTCCCTGGAACCCAGAGACCTCCGCACTTCC